AATGTTAACAACCGGTTCTAGTGAATAGGTGTGAACTGGTAGAATCCCACCCCTGAGGGAGGGGGAAAGCAGTAGAGACTTCATTCCAGAGAAGGGATACTTCCTAGGACTCATAATCTGACAAGATATAAAAGAGGGAATCTGAGGGAATCTGCACTCCCTGTGGGAGCAAGTGAGGCAGGCAGGTATTCTCAAGAAAAAACAGTTCCCTAAGTATAGCATTGATTTACTTGAGACTAGGTAGTTGTATTTTGGGTTTCAGGATGAAAAATTTCCAACTCTTTCAGGAGTTGCTGGAAATTAAGCTTAGAACTTTGACTACAGAACATGTCCTAAGCCACAATTGTTTCCAGTATTAGTATTTAGTCCACTTAAGTGACAGTTAGGCTGTGCTCATTAAGCTAATAAAAGTTCAATAGCCACTTTTCTGATATATAGTTTAGAAGAGTTTGGGGATATCGCCCACTTCTTCTTGCCTAAGATTATATTCTGTGGATCCACTGAATTAAAGAACTAAGTTGGTGTGATTTATTTGATTCTATGGCATCCTTAGCAAAAAAAAAACATTGACCATGGGAACTAAGTAAGGTATTCATTAAAAAGAACCTGAAAAAAAATTCAATTAGATCTCCTCATTTTACATCTTAAGCTATCCTAGATTGAATACTTGGAACTATACCTCTGTATTTGACTTCAGATATCAAAAGCATCTGGCTTGAAATGGAATACAAATCTAGAATAGCTGCATCCTGTGTAGGGATTTTGCTACAAAAACTGACTAGCAGAAGTTAATAACTTTTCACATTTTAGGAGCCTAGGAGATGCTGTTCTATTGCTTGCCCTTGTTTTGATCCCAAGAAAACGACCCTTTCTAATGGAGCTTGTGATCTTCAGTGTTGAATCCTGCTGTTCAATTTACAGATCTTAGAAGCTGAAGCATTTTTTTTTACTTCAAACTTTGTGCTGTCTTCTTTGTTCACCTTCTTATTATTTTCCTTGCCTTCTAAATTACTCTTGTTCACATGCTGTGCCAGCCAGAGAAGGGGACAAATCTCCAACCTAAAAATTGCATTCCCAACCCATCAGAAACACAAACTTTTTACTGCTTAGGAAGAGTGTAATGGAGTATACAGTTGGTGCCAGAATAAACAGTGCCAGTTGTTTCTTCTGCCTTTTTTCATTTTTTGTTTTTCCTGAAGTTATAAACTGCTTGAAAGTTTGTAGCTTTGGTAACATGCCTGGCAAAGTACCTGAAATGAAGATTCAAAACACTTCCCAGAATTCATTGCTTTGTGAATTCTCATTTAAAATTAATTTAACTTATATTTTTATTTATAACTTCCACTAGTCAGGGAATTGATATAGTGATATAAGAAAGAACATAGCATTACTGCATCTCACTAAGATTTCTTTTGAACTATCATGCAACACAGTCCTTAGGAGCTCCATATCCTAAAACATATCTCACTTAAGGAGCCTCACTAAAGATACCTTCCAAGATGCTGTCAGAATTCAGGGGTCAAGTAGCAAAGAACCCAGACTGTTGCTTAATCTGGTGATACAATTCCATTAACAGCAATTGCACTAGTATTTAGACTTATATGCCACTTCATAATACTTTACAGCTCTCTCTAAGTAGTTAACAGAGTCAGCATATTGCCCCAACAATCTGGGTCCTCATTTTACTGAACTTGGAAGGATGGAAGGTTGAGTCAATCTTGAGCTGGTGAGACTCGAACTGCCAAACTGCAGGCATCCAGCAGTCAGCAGAAGTAGCCTGCAGTACTGCATTCTCACTACTGCACCACCGTGGCTTTTGCTTGAATATTCCCGTTGGTTTACCTTGATATCTCCTTAGATCTTGGCTCCAAACATCATTCAGTCTCTCACTCTCTTAAGAATGTTCCTTGGTTATTATCTTTCTGTGTTTAAAAAAAATCTGTTTGAGAAGGGATTTGCAGTCTAGAATTTGGAAGAAAAAGAAAAAGTGATTTGCCCATTATCTTCATTCATCAAAGTCCAAAGTTGAGTCTGCCTTTCGCAATTTAAATTTTGCAACGTGAAATTGCAAAAATACGTATACCAAGATCATTTTCTGTAGATTCTTAATAATTACCAGATTTAAGGGATTATAAATATGGGATTAAGAATTTAAAAAAAAACAAGAATATGTGAAAACTTTTTCAGGCTCAATTTGTAATGACATTATTAGAGTGTTTTACTCTGTTACTTTCCATCAATCATAAGAATGCAGTGTCTTCCCTGCTCCCATGGCCAAGTTAATATTTGAAGAAAGTTGAGACTATCTTTCTCCTTCTCTTTTGGTGCAGCAGAATAATAAGAGGAAAATCATGGTGGATTTGGGGCTTTGTATTCTTTTCCATGATTAACTTCATAGAGTCAAGTACTTTAAGTCCAAAGGATCAGGTGATAGTTAAGGAAAGGGGAAGGATTCTGTGCACTGAAATAGAGAGAATTGGGATATTAAAATATTCTAGGATTTGGGGATAGGATAGGAAGTTTTGCTTTATGGGTATAAGAAATTTAGGAAAACAAAATTGTAATTTAGGAAAACAAAATTGTAATTTTGTTTTCCTAAATAGACTTGTAATAGAAATCTGTGAAATCTTTACAAAACTCTAAGCCAGTGATGATGAAACTATGACATGTATGTTAAAAGTGATGTACCACAAGATTTCAGATGACATGCCCATGTCCACCAACATATGACAATAACTATAATTGAAAGCACATTCTCACACAATTTTCAGAAGCTATGAATGCCATACGAGAATGAGGTATGCTATTGTGTGGTCTCCAGACCTTCTGGAAGTTGGGTGAGATGGTTGGGCTCTTGCATAGAACCTGTGAAAACCATGTGAGAATAGGTTTCAAATAGTTGAAGCCACAGAAGAGCATTCTGCAAAGCTGCTTCAAGAACGAAGGCCTCATGCAACACAGACCAGCCAGCCATGAGTAGGCTGCAGTGACCTATCAACAGAAGAGAGAACACCATCTGCAAAGTCAAGTTAGGCATTTTCCTAGCTATTGACAGACTGAACCCAGGACCTCTACCTTCACTACTCTAAGCCCACTCTAGGTTATCACCATATCTAATACTTCAGACAATGTATTTGCTGTAGACAAATTCAGAATGCAGTATCAATGAACTAGCCAAAGATGAATATGTATGTGTAGGATTAAGTCTAAATCCAGGAAGAGACCCAAAGAATGTATATCGCTGTTTTCTGCCTCACTTTATATTTGTAACATAACTGAAGTTAATTAAGCATCTTCGGAAGCATCCAATACACTCTGTAAGGAAACTTTCATTATATTTTAGGGACAAAACTTTATCCTATTGATAGAATGTTCCTTTATCAAGCAAAGAAGGTAATCCAAGAAAGTCCCTTTCATTTGAGAATATGCCCTGCCTTTCCCAATCTTATGATTGCTTTTAAATGATTTTTATAATTATTATAATTATGGTGTAAAGTGAAATGTAATATACAAATGTCCCTCATCTTTCTAACTGCAAGAGAGAAAGTCCAAACTAGACATACAGTAGATTAATTAGAGTTGTACCGTTATTTGCTCTAGATCTGTGGTGGCGAACCTATGGCACGCATGCCATAGGTGGCACACAGAGCCATTTGTGTGGGCACGCGAGCCCCAGCCAAACTTACTTGCACTGTGCATGCGCGCGCCTCCCAGCTGTTTTTCGGCCTGTTTGAGGCCATTTTCGCCCTCCCAGGGCTGCAGAGGCATCCCTCGAGCCTACAGGAGGGCAAAAACAGCCTCCCCTGAGCTCCAGAGACCCTCTAGAGGCTGAAAACAGGCACTTCCGGTATTTCCGGAAGGCCCATTTTTCGGCCTCCCAAGGCTGCAGAGGCTTCCCTTGAGCCTCAGGAAGGAAAATGTCCTCAAATGGGCCAAAAATCAGCTGAGAGGCACGTGAGTGCAGGTAAGGGGGTGAGGCGGGGGTGTTGCGTGCACATGCGCAGTGGGGGCAGGGCACATTGTATTGTGGGTGTTCGGTGTGCATGCGCTTTCAGCACACCACAACAAAAAGGTTCGCCATCACTGCTCTAGAAGGTTTCAGTACCTAAGACAAAATACAAATTAAGTTGTGGCATTAGAGTCTTTTTTTTTTTTAAAAAAAGAAGAAAATGAAGTAAAAAGAGAGAACTTGGGCATTTAATTAAGCATGACTTCCTTAGATTGCCGTTTCTCAGTCCACAGGCTTTTTATTTCTTCATGGTGTTCTCTGGCCTAATGAGAAGAGAGCATATTTTCCATGTATTAATTATAACTGTTGTTTCTGCTTCAAGATGGAAATTACTGGACTCCCTTGATAGTGGCAAATCAAAGGAGATGACTTGAGAAGTCTTTGTTCAAATTCTTTAGTACCCTGGAGTACATCCAAAAAAAGTAACTTAAACCACTCTATGCTACGTACTGCTTTCAAAATTTCCCCTCCCGGCAGATAAACAGAGAGCGATCGGTTTGGTTCTCACTGGGTTGCACAAATCACTTTCCTCAATCACCACATATGACACCTCTCTGCAGTTGAACCGCTCCAGGTCCTTCTCATCTTCTCCACCTTTTTCTTTTCTTTTTTTGAAGGGTGGTTTCAGAAATGGTGCAAGTAAAATGATAGGACAGCGGGGTTCCTCTTCTCCAGGTATCAGCGGTGACACAGTCACCTTGACAGTAGAAATGGGGGAACAATCTGTCTAATGTGAAAAAGGTGTAAACGGACTCAAAGCCCGTGCATTTGTTCTTGCAGGCTTGTTGCCTGCTGAGAAACGAATGCTTCTTGATCATTTGCATTGGAAATGTGAAACGCTGCACCTGGAGAGCCAGTTGAAAGAGACCCTTTGGTGATTAGAGAGCTTTTGGGTATTCACAAGAAATCTTTTCAATTAGCTGTATTACCTTTCTTTGAAAACAATATGAGGGCTATAAAAGCAAGTGACACTTCTTTCTTTTTCCTCCAGAAATCCCGGCTTGCAAGGATCCGTGCAGCAAAGAGCGGGAGTGCAAATGCTTATATGCAGAGCAAACGAAATGGCTTCCTCAGTAACCAGCTGCAGGTAATGAGCATCTGTGTTCTATATCCAGAAACATCATTTATTTAATCATAGCCCAGAAATCTTTTGTCTGTTTCATATCGGAAAATGTCAGGCTGCCTTCCAATATACCATGACAGTCACACTCAGGCAGAAGAAGGAGCAATTGCTCTTAACCAGCAAGAACTTTGCAAGTCCAGTTCAGGCAAGATGTCCCAGATGAGTTTCTGGGACCTGCAAAGTTAAATTAATACATGATGGAGAATGTGAGTTTGTCATGTAGTTCCTATAGGTCTAAAATTGTCCTCCAAGGGCTATTTACCTTGCCACACATATATGTCTGTTCAAAGATATAGGCACGCACACACACAAAATTCACATAATGTTCTGTCCTCCACCATAAATCACTTCTGGTTTTAATTTCAAAGAGATTTCAAATTTTGACTAAGTAACTTCTAATACTGGAGGAATGTTCAGCTCAAACTCTCTTTGCCTCTTGATCCCTTAATGGATCACCTCTGGCTTTTATTTCATACTCTGTGAATGGCAGGGGGTTTTGTCCAGTAGATCCATGGAACAGGAAATAATAAAGACCACAGGTAGTCGTTGACTTACAATCATATTCATTTAGTGACCGTTCCAAGTTAAAACAGCATTGAAAACAATGACTTTTGACTGGTCTGTGTCCTTCTGACCATCACAGAATCCATTCGGTCACATGTTCAAAATTTGTACACTTGGCAACTGGCAGATTTTTATGATGGTTGCAACATCCTGGGGCCAGGCAATTGCTAATTGTGACCTGTCCAGCTAGCTTCTGACAAGCAAAGTCAATTGGGGAAGCTGGGTTCACTTAACAACTTCATGATTCACTTAACATCTTTAGTGATTCACTTAACTGTGGCAAAAAGTTATAAAATTGGTTGTGACTCACTTGCTTAAAAAAAGAATAGTGATTATAAATTGAGGACTTCCCATAGTAAGCAGTGTGTAGTAGAAATCCAAAAGTTGGTTAACTAGTTAACTAAACCGCTCTCTTAGGCTGCCTAAGAAATAAATATTAAAGTTTTAGCTGACTACAGAAGTAGCAGCAGCAGCAGCAATAACCAACAATAACAACAACACTAAAAAACCAGTCCTTTATTAGCACTATTCTTAGAATGATTTCCCTTCACTAAGTGTGGCTCAGTTGTTTCCTCACCTTCAGGAATTCATTTATATAACAAGATTTTATTGCTTGTTGCTGCTATACTGATTTTTGTACACTTTCTAAGATGCTCTTTGGCGGATAGTGGCAATATTGATATGGGTTTGGTGTTGAGTGGCAGAAATGTCTTTTTCTCCTATAATGCAGCATAGAAAACTAAGGCAATCAAATGACAAACAATCACTCCTATTGACAAGAACATTCAAATGGAAGGACAGTCTAAAAAAAGGAAAAAAGGAAAACAAGACTTCATTACTTCACACATTTAAACTTTGGCAGGATATTTTCAATAGTTAATTAGAATTAACATTTTACTGTTATTGTTATTCATTGAAATACTATGAACTTCCGCAGGATTATTCTAGAGAGTTCTATTCTGCATAGCACTGACATTAATCATGTCCAACTTTTCACTGAATGGCTGCTTTTTTTCTGGATCTTTCACATCAGTGCTTTCATCCTGCATTTGTTGGCCCCATTGATATAAACTTACAAGTGCAATAATGTTTATTAATTTTTTTCCTCAGGGAGTTCACTTCCAAAACTCCCAGATGGCACGGGAGGTTGATTCCCACAATCTGGAGGACATCAGATTGGGGAAAGTTCGCTTGTCTAAAAACCACTAAGGATTGATTTGAGATGGTCAATGTCATGTTGAAACATTCAGTGAACAGTGATTTACTTGTCTCAACTTTTATATCAAGTTAGTTAGAAGTAAATTCTAAATCAGATTTTTTTTTAGAAAAAAAAGTTTATGCTATTTAATATTTCCATGTTAGACCATTATAGTGGTTTGCTCTTTTTAAAGTCAAGAATTCAGTTTAAAGCCCATTCCTTCACAAATGAGAATAATGTATTATTCAATATATCAACAGCTATGTGGTGAAGAACAAGAGGCCTTTGTTAGCAAATCTGGTTCTTCCTTTGAAATCCAGCACCACCATCTGCTTCACTGTCTGGAAAAAACTACGGTAAGATGATAAACTGACAGCCTCCTTGTGATCTGTAAAAACAAACAAAAATTATGTTGGTTGATCTTATTGCTTTAAGAACTGCTCCATGCTTTGGTTATGCTATGCTGATTTTTCCATTTTTACATGGGCAGCCAAGGAGAAACCATAGTGATCCACACTTTTTATCGCTGAGCTTCACCAACAGTCATTATTTAGCAGTCAAAAGTATATATTGCATCTTGGTCCTTTTCATGTTCCTTGGTTCTGATATCTGGAAGAAATGCCAAAAGAGGGAGAACAGATTCAAGAACAGATCAGTGTAGGCATTGTTGCAGTTGTGTTGATTATTGGGAATGTCACATCAGGAGTGGGAATCCTGAACTGCTCAGACTCTTTCTGCCAGTTATGATGACAAATTGTTGGGTTGGTTTCAACATCCTGTTCATCTTAAAAGAAGGACTTTGGAAAAAGTTTCCTTCAACTGAAGGGAGGTAAACTTTAAAATCAATTATATGTTTCTAATATTTGTACCATTCATTTTTATCTGTAGCAGATTAAAACACTAGATCCTATCTACATTGGCCCTTTGTTTAGTTTTTATATTATTTTGAATGTTATGGTTTCCATTTGCTCTTTCAAATTAGGTCAAGTGGCTACCTCTGTTGAGATATCACCTGCTCTTTTGTAGAATTGTGGGTTGGTGATGATCAGACATTAATATATCTTCATGGTGCTAAATTTCATCATTCTATAAGTTCAAAAAATACCTCTGATCCTTTTATTTTTGTTTTATTAGAGTAAAAGACAAAAGAAAGTATTGTTTTTCTTTTCAAATATTCTTTTTTTTCATCTCCTAATTTCTCCCCGTCACCTTTGAGATCAAGCATGATTAGCACAGATACATTACTTTATTGTTTTAATTATCTACAATATCTCAGGCAAGTCATCAGGATCCAAAATATGCTGCTTGGCGTGAACTAAAGGACTTAAATTGGCATTATTGTGGGTAATATATTGGTATTGGTAATTTTTAATAGCAATTCTACATATCTCAGGCCATCTCTGAGACTCAGTTCATTTTAAAAGTAATTGCTTTGTTTGCTCTAAGTCAGGGGTGTCAAACTCGCATTGTCATGGCATCATCATGTGACGTATTGCAACTTTTTCCCCCTTTGCTAAACTGGGCATGAGCATGGCCAGCGTGCAGCGCATCTGGCCCATGGGCCACAAGTTTGATACCCCTGCTCTAAGTGTTAAGTTTAAGAAATTCAAACCCTAAGATTTGCTTAAATCCAGTTAGTAGCTATGAGAGGGTTGTTATGCTTTGGAAGGAAATTCCATTCATTAACCTGAAATGCCATACACTTTTACTCAGTAGTATTTGGTCTCTGACTTCTTGTTAAGAATGGCCTTTCAAGAATTCAATTTTTAAAAAATAACTACAGTTAAAAGCTGCTGCTAGTGAAATAAGAGCACCTTGCATAAGTCACTGCTACCATGTCATTCATGCGGCTTTTTCTGTCTATGTCTGTGGCCCAGAGTCATGACTTTGTGGATGAGCAAACCTATGAAGAAAACTGTATGGAGGTTTCTACAGTCAACCGGCAAGCTGGCCACAGTCCTTCTCTTTCATCTCAACAAGGAGTGACAAGCTCTTGCTGTTCCCGACGACATAAAAAGACATTCCGCATCCCAAACACCAATATAATCAGTAGCCATCCAAGTAGTGTCCAAGAACTCAGCACTATTCAGATCAGGTGCATGGAAAGAACACCTCTGTCAAACAGGTACTTCAGTTGTAAAAGGGCTCCTAGATAGGTGTTAGTTGATAAAACGTTCAACTTTGCCAGGGCAAAAATTAGCGATATGTATACATGAGAGTTTGCGCTTGCTGTATTTCAAATAATAACCTCTACTACCTGGGAAACCATCTTCCGTTGTGCTCATGGAATGGTACGGGTCCCTCCAAATAAAGGTAAAGCATAATTTTAAAAAATTAAGAAAGTGGCTGAAAATGTATTTAATCTAGGAATTTGATGGGTACCTTTTAAATTGCTGGTGCAGGAGTGGACTTCAAATTTTTTAGCAACGGGTTCTCTGCCCGGTTGCTGGCTGGACATGGGCATGGCCTAGTCGGCCTCCTGCACCCACAGCGGGGAGGAGGTGTTTTTTTCCCCTCCTCTGGCTCTGGAGGCTTTCCATGAGCCTCTGAGAGGGTGAAAACAGCCTCCCCAGACTCGGGAGGCTCCCTGGAAGCCAGAAATGGGCCCGTTTCCGGCCTTCCCAAACTTCTGGAAGGCCCGTTTTTCAGCCTCGCCGCACTTACCTGCATCCAAAAGGAGCCACATGGGGACTCCGGGGAGGGGAGGGGAGGGATGAATGGGGCCATCCAAGGAGTGGGATTTGGGGGGGGGTTCTCTGAACTGTGCAAAATCTTAGATAGGGGCTCTCCTGAACCCCTGCGAACCTCCAGCAGCCCACCCCCGCTAAATTGTCAAGCTATGCCTAAAGCATTCTAGAAAAAGCCTTTTCATGCTTAAATTATAGGATAGAAGTGAATGGATTTCTTTAATATGAATATTCATTACATGATTCTTTTGTGTAAAATGGTGAGCCTTTCTGGCAGTACTTTTTTTTTCATTATACCTTCCAATTTATATTTTATTATAAATGAAATTTGATGACTTCATTAGGGCAAATCACCATGGACTTCACAAGGATAAGATGATTTTCAAAAAGACGGAAATGTATTGTGTTCCTTAGGTGACAATACTCAGGACAGAGCAAATACTGCAGTGAGAAAATCTTATGTGGGAAAATGTTCCTTGAATCTAATGAAAATGATAATTTCTACCTCCAAACACCAATTTAGTTTGTCATTACAGGCTGGGAATTAAATTCCTACAATCCAACTAGTAGAAGTTAGTTTATAAATAATTTTTGCATCTCAATGTTTATATAGTCAGACTTCTTCCTACAACTGTTAGTTCAACTTATTAACCTGTCCAACTTTCATTTTATCTAAGTGCATGTCCACCTGAGTTTCAATCTCTAAATATGATGTGTAGCTTTATTCAAAGCTATGTCGGTTTGTAAGCCGTTGTGTAATTGAAGCTAACATATGAGTTTCTTAATATCATTATGGATCAATATTATACATGAGTAGTTTTTTTTTTTTTAAGTGTGAACCATTCCAAAACAATAGACTAAACTCATTTAACACTTCCAAATCTATTCACTTGAGCTAGATAAATGTGGAAGATGTAAGAAAAGGATATTCAGAAACAGTAAGCATCCAAAGTTTGATCTAGGAGTTAAGGCACTAAGCTAGAAACCAGGAGAGTTCTAGTCCCACTTTAGGCATGAAAGCTGGTTGTCCTTGGAACAACCACTTTCTCTCAGCCCAACTCAAGTTACAGGAAAATAGAGGATGGAGAAGTATTAGGTATGTTCGCTGCCTTGAATTATTTCTAAAAATAATAAAGGCAGAATCTAAATAAACAAATAATAGAAAGTCTTCTGTAAATGTGACCTGACCAACATGCAACTTGGATTATTTTCTGACATACTAGAATTGAATAAAACCCTAAAACAGATGGAATGTTTACATGATTTGTTTCTATTTATTGTTCCTCATCTCTAGTCGATCCAGTTTAAATGCCAAAATGGAAGAGTGTGTAAAACTAAACTGTGAGCAGCCTTACGTAACCACAGCAATAATCAGCATCCCAACACCACCTGTGACTACCCCGGAAGGAAACAATAGACAGGATTCTCCAGCGTATTCAGGAGGAAACATCGTCCGAGTATCTGCTTTATAAAACAGGTAGAATAAAGACCATTGAGTAGCTGTCAAGATTCAGAAGAAGGAAGGATATATCTCTGATTAAACACAGATATTGGAAGGATTCCAGAGATACAAAGTATTCGAAGTTTTCAATATTGAACGGTGTGCAGTGAACAACCAAATGGAATTTCTATATGAACTGGACCTTTTCTGGAATAAACTCTTGTGTGACTCTTTTCATTTACTGTATGAGCACAATAACATGTCTCCCATTAAAGTTTCTTCTTACCATGGGGATGTAGAAAAGAATCTTTTTAATAAAATACCTTAAAAAAAAAACAAAGACACGTACCACCATTCAGACAGTTTATTTTCCAGCCAAATGCAAAATTAAGGATGGACCCAGTTTTGATAACGTGTTCTCTTTTTTCCTGTTGATAAACCATGAACTCATCAATCAGCTAAATTCAGAAAAAGAGAGAAGTGGCTCATCCAGTATGTATACAGATTGAAAGAAACAACTCATATGCATGTGAAAATTCTTTGGAGCTGTGATCTGAATTTTCTTCTGTTGTTTACTTCAGACTAGGCATGATAACATTTTACTGTAAAAAAGGAGCATTTCTGTGCACTTATAAAAACTGATTGTTAATGTTCCATGGTGTACAAATAATTTGCTGGAGAGGGGTGGGATGGGGGAGAGAGAAATGTCATACTCAAAACACACATTAGTGAACTTGAGGTGTTCAGTCAGTTTAGTATTTATGATTGTTTCCCCTCGCTTCCTCAGTACTGTTACAACTGCAATAATTCAATATACATCTGTTGTATCAGGAATCAGTCTTTTATTTATGTAACTGCACAAAGTCAGCTATAAAATAAAACCCCACGTTGATTATCAATACATTATGTAACATAAGAAAGTTTAATGTTTTAAACATTTAAGGCCAACAATAATTCTGTCAACCTTTTTTGTTTTTAAAGCCAATCTTTGCTTTTCTTTATTTGTTTTGTTCTCCTTTGAATGCAGTTTTCCTATATGTGGTGTTTTTTTTTTTTTTAAAAAAAACCTTGATCTATAAGCACCATTCTATAGTGTGTTTCTGAACTAATTAAGTCTTCCTAATGTGATGTTACAATGTAGCTGACATCTGATATGAAACTAACATGGTGTAGCAGTAAAGTCCTCTAAAACTGCTATGTAATGATGTTGGATAAACTAAGCACTGAAAGTCATGCAAATAAGATTTGCTGAAGATTACATAAATCTGTTTGTCAAATCTGTTCTGAAACACTGGATCAGATAGCTTAACGGGCATTCACAGTGAAGTGGAGTTTGAAAAAATCAAGATGGCCACCATGACTGCATCATCAAGGTCTGCCCATTTTTTTGCATGAGACGCCATTGCAAGATTAGCCCCATCTTTACTTTTTTAAGTATCTCCCTTCGTGGATGTCCAATAACCTAAAATGGATTACAGTTGAAATTAAAGCTTTAGATCAGAACTACAAGAGTGTATTATCATATGATCAGTACATATATTTTATCACATAGTCTTTTTGTTTCACTATCTAAAGGATTTTTAAAATGCTGATTTTTCAAAAACCCAGTTTCAAAAACCCAACTTTCTTCAACTGTTCCTTCACTTATTGTTATCTGTTTAGGAATGTGATCGTTTCTTATTATTTCACCTTATTAAACAAAGCAGTTGACAAAATATAACCAAATCTAGAAATACTTTCTAGAGAAATTGATATATGGGCCAGTATGAAATTGTATTTAACCTAAGTGTCTTTACCTGAGGTATGGAAGAATGTCTATAAATGTCTTCACTGATGTAATACTAAAAATTATACAGATAGTCCTCAACTTACAATAATTCATTTAATCGCCATTCAAAGTTATGGTGCTGAAAAAAAATGACATTACAACTGATTGTCGCACTTGCAAATGGCACACAGTCCCCGTGGTCATGTGATCAAAATACAGTATGTGGACTTGGCAACCACCATTTATTTTTTTTAATTTGTTGTTTTTATTTATTTATTTTTCTCCCATATTTTTTTTTAAAATAAATAGTTCAAGACGGAGAACATATCTTATGCTCCTTCCTCCTCCTATTTTCCCCATAACAACCTGTGAGATGGATTGGACTGAGAGAGAGTGACTGGTCCAAAGTCACCCCACTGTCATGAATTCATAATGGTCAGGTAATTTCCCCATGATCTTCCCAGCTGACTTCTGATAAGCCAATGGGGGATACCAGATTCACCATGTCACTTAAACAACCACATTGATTTGCTTAACAATTGTGACAAACAAGACCAAAACATTGAGCACAACTCACTTATCAAGCATCTCGCTTAACAATAGAAGTTGTGGTCCAAATTGTGGCCATAGGTTGAGGACTACCCATACATTGGATGTGGGTGATCAGACTGCTCTGTTTCTAAACAATCTAGTTTAAATTATCTGCAACACTTGTATTATTAGGTGACCAGTGATACAACCCAAAAGATTTCATTTCTACAGTGTACTGGAGCAGGCCTTAGGGCAAGATTCACTCCATAACTATGAACGGATTTGCTAGGTCTAGTTGCATTATTTAGGGGAGATTTTTTCCTGGGAAACCAGGGGGTAGGTGAACAGGCGAAACTGCGGTGAACAGGCGAAACTGCAATAGAATCTGCAGTGGCTTTCTCAGAGACCAGCCCAAACAAGAACTAATACAAATGGATGCAACATCTTATAGCAATAGCAATTAACCTCTCTCCCTTTGAGCAGTATGGCTTTCAGTTGGACTGCTTCAGAGGAAATATAAACATAATATTTAATGCTACATTGCCACAGCAGTATAGAAGCACCCATGCAATTATTTTTATTACATTGACACTTTTTACTGCAGCATCTGGCTCTAAAATTGGTTAATATATTCCATGCCAACTTCCTATAAAAATGTAGCCACAAGGTAGGTTCAAGGTGAAAAAAAATCATTTTTATCTTCCTTTTCCATCTTCTAGTTATTTATTCTTACTAAAGAATAAAAATTATTATAATCACTATTTTAATATCGATTTGCATTTGAGGTCCTTGCCACACAGTGATTCTATTGAATGTTCTGTTTTGCAGTATAATTCCCTATTCTCTCAAAACCCCAGGACTATTTAATTCTTCCGTGAACAAATATTTTAAGTTACTGTTTAACTTTTTTTCCACAGCAGTTTTCCCCATTTTGATCTTTGCTCCTGCTGATTTATTTATTTTTAATTTTTTTATTTATTTTGTCAATTGCGTAAAAGATAATAGGTATAAGTAAAAACATAGTTATGAATACATGGATACATATAAGAAAAATAAAAAATAAAAGAAACAATAGGACAGGGACGGTAGGCATGTTGGTGCGCTTATGCACACCCCCTTTTCTTAGGAAAGGGGTGAGGTCAATAGTAGACAGTCTAAGGTTAAAGTTTTTAGGGTTTGGGGAAGAAACCACAGAGTCAGACAGAGTATTCCAGACATTGAGCACTCTGTTGCTGAAGTTGTATTTCCTGCAATCTAGTTTGATGCGATTAACCTTGAGTTTGTATCTATTGTGTGCTCTTGTGTTGTTATGGTTGAAGCTGAAGTTGACAGGTAGGACATTGCAATGTATGATTTTATATACTATACTTGGATCGGACCGAAGGCAACGTAGTTCTAGGTTTTCTAGGTCTAGAATTTCGAGTCTGGTAGCATTTTGTGTTGACTTTTTGTATAAGGCTTGCTACATGATGGAGTCCTTGATTTCACAATGCAAGGCGTGCACAGATGCAGGTGGATGTTAACAAAGAGGAAAACAATAATTCAAAATCTCTACTCACAGCTATATTTTTTATTACTAACTCAATCTTTTATACTTTATGCCATAGGAATTTTGGGTTTTAGTAATACCCAAATACTAAATATAATTTTCACCAGTTTCTTCTCTTGAAATATCACGGGGTACATTAATTACATTTGTGGATGCTACTTTGCTGACAGCCACAGACAGCTCCTGGTGAGCTGTATGCAGAAACAGATTTTATCACTGACCTGCAGAATTCAGTCCACAAATAGAAATGGAGTCATGTCCAAACTTCATATCTCACAGAAATCCCCCTAGCTTGTGCATAAATTATTATTGATTTATGGCTACCACAGCCTTACTGCTACCTCTTTTTTTTTACCCGTGTTTTTTTTCCAGTCAAGGCCAACTCTGTTCTAAAGTAGGAGCTTTATAAACCAGTTCTGACATTCTGGGATTTAAAAAGTTAGTCTTGGACAATGCTCTATTTGAGATCATAAATGGGAAAGCCGGAACACCAGTACTTAGAGAACAGATACAGTCTAGAAGTATGTTTGTCTTGTGTTCAATAAAATTTTGCATAATGCTAGCCACCCATCACACAGCTACTACTGTTTTCTCTGAAATGCAGAAGTGAAGCATTCTTTCAGTGTTCTAGGTGATTTAAATGCTGTTTTTTTTTTAGTGAATGACTTGCGACTGTGTAAAATGCATCTGTACTGTAAATTAAATGTAATTATTTCTGTGTGTCACACAAAAAATTCAAGGTGTTGTTCTGTTTCTACTATGGGGGAGGTGAAATTTGTCTTGTGTTTCGGAAGAACAAGATGTGTTTTGCTAAATAAATCAGAGGTCCAAGGAGTACTTAAATAAAACATCTGCATGCTTGAATGGGAAACTGGTTTTGCAATAACCTCATTCACAGAGAATTTTTTTCCTGCTTATATGTCAAATGATCTTGAATGAATGCAGAAAACCCTTGAGTAAAATTTATCTTGAAATTCAATGTTATTCTTCATATATATAGTTACATAGTACCGTATCTTTGAAACTTTGGAACTCAAGAGTAAATTCTGTTCTGGGCAATCAAAATAACTGATAGTTTACACAAAAATAATTTGAATCATGATAGGGCATAATTTTATATGATCCTGAGAAAAGACACTGATGCTTTAAAGAGTTAGGGAAAATATATTCATATCCTCGCATA